GCAATTTTTTACAATGAGAATATGCAGTTATGATACTTCTTCATGCTTTCCTCATTCACTCGCTTGAGTCTGAGTTTTGACTATCTTTTATATGGCAGTTTGCCTTAAGGACATATATCGACTAGCTGCCAGTGTCCTTCGTCAGTCGAACGTTGTCCAGATTCATATGATGGCAATTCATAACTGTCATGGAAGCTGAGGTAATATTCCTCTCATGCTTCGCATATATTCCTGCTACTGGAAGCCCTCGAAGGGCATGGAGTTTGAGTACGTTCATCGAAAACTTGATCCACTGGCGTCGTTGGGACCGTCAGAAAACCACGAGCTGAGGGAGTGAGCGCATATTTTCGATGTTGATCTGACGAATTTGGTGTTTCAGCCTTAAATGCATAATTTTTTATAAACTGGAGAACGTGCTTCTGCATGGTGACCTCCCATAGCTCACAATACTTCGTTTGAGTTTGCCATTTGAGCATCAGCCTGCTAAACATCAGCCCTAAATATTTGAAGAATGAGATAAACTATACTTATTCAGCGCAGTCAGAGTGATTGAGGGAATATTATACTCCTCTTGTTATCTTGTCATATTTTGGTAATATTTTGGTAGTAGTCACGACGGCGGCAGTCCACTCGACTGAGAGAATATGCTTCTACGATCTTAATTTAGTATATTCGACATAGGTAAAAAAATCCCTATCCGCGTATGACAACAATGTTGCTGCCACGTGAGTGCGGAGGTGGTTTTTCTGGCCTGGTGTCCATCTTGATCAGACGGAGCAATTTTTCAGACGACTGACCGCTACAGCACGTTACGGCCACATGCGACCGCCGCTTCTTTCGCCTTTATGACGTGGCTTGATGACACCATCGTCGGTGGCAGTCGCGATGCTGGCCGCCGTCGCACGTGTTCGGTGAGAGTAGCAGAAAAACGACAAAAGTATTTCAGTTATGTTAATAAAAATCAACCTCCGTTTCAATCGGTTATGTTCGGCTGCCCTCACTCATCGCGTCTACCAATCAGGTTGTCCAACGGCCGAGTTCCTCACCGACCTCCTGCTGGTGTGTGGTCTGCGTTATAGCGCCTTTGCGACTGCACTGGCCTCGTGACTTGATCCACCGTGTACGTATTTCGTCCTGCGAATCCCGTTTCGCGCCGCCCACTAACTACAGGGTAATGGTACTTTTGGCCGGTTCTGTCCCTGAACACAGATTCTGCCTGAGTCCCAGTCGGCTGACGATCAAAATTTAAAGGATGAACAGCCGTGTGTTTTTTTTGGTCCACAATTTAAAATTTTTATATTCTATTGCTGTGAATTATAAATTATGAATTCGCAAAATTTAATGAAATCTGCTTCTTCGAAATTCCTGTTGAAGTACTCACTGTACCCAGCAGTGCACAGAACTAATTTCTAAAAAGAAACTGCCTTCAGGCTGAAGAAATAATTACATCGTACACGAAGTACTGTTGCCTCTCAAGAAGTATTCTCTTTACTGACGTCGAAATGGCGAAAAAAGAACTTTCCTTTCTCAGATGCGAAATAATTTGTTTGAATTATTTAGTACTTCAGCTGATTAAGCAACTGGCAGTGTAAAAACTCATTCGCTGTACATCCCGGCCATTTGTCCAATAATCCCTTTGTCACAGACTGTGCATGCATGCACGCACGTGACGCTACGCTTTGCGAGTGCAGCTTAAATGACCAAAGAACTTTGTTAACGTCCTCTCTGATAAGGCGATAACAGCATTGTTGCTTATCACAGAAAGACTGAGTGATCTGCTACACTGTCAAATGTGAGTTCATTGAAATCAGCGCTTTCGGTCGTTTGCATATTCTCTGATAGGCAATGTCCGCTGCACTCACAGCTCCTCAATTCCATTGCTAGAAGTCACCTTCGCAGAAGCAACAATTCTTTTCGAAAGCAGAGCCTCCTCTATCTTGATCATCCTTGTTGTAGAATCACGTCCTAAGAGACGTTCGCCATATGTCGGGTTTCCATGCGAGAATCTGGCGGGCTCCAGCAGATGGTTTCTGCTCAAACTGTTTTTCGAACAGGACAACCTCTGATCAACGATGCCGAATGGAGCAGAGTCATGTCTTATGTGATCCTGCCATCTGCTCTTATAATCCGCCGCAACAAACGGGACCATACGTTGTTTAGCCGTTGTTCTTGGTTCTTCGTTTGATTGACTCATTCCACGTCCTTGTGGAACAGTCTACAGATTGAGGCAAGGTGTAGAATGGTTCTTCTTTTTCAGTCCAAAATTTTGATAGGTTATCTGAAGCATAATAGACAAGGAAAGTACACCTCTAATTTGAAATGATGAAATCGAGATACTTGAACTGGTCAACAACCTCTGCCAGTTGACTTCTTCTTTCCTCTGCCAGTTGATGCTTCCCTTTCCTGCGGTCTCTCTATTTAGATTAATATGCTACTATGATCAAAACAGAGTATCTACCTTCTCTTCAGAAACGCTAGTTTTGTCCTAATGCTCAAGTGCGCATTATACAGTTTCTTATTCATGAATTTCTGTAATTTCAACGTTTAGCGTTAAGATTAATGATGCATTTATTCAACAAACAACGTAATTTTTCTGTTACTCAAGATGAACATCCTTGTGGAATGCTTTTGGGTGTCACACTCAACGAATGCCCAGGTTTCGATGTTAATTTCTAAAACGCATCTGAGGAGCTCTGTTCTTATTTCTGGCACCACTGTCCATGCAGAATGGACATTTGCTGTTCTCTTCTCTCGTCTATTCACATTGTAAATTACTTGAGTACAAAAACACTAATTACGGGAAAAAGAATGCTTCAAACCACCCATCAATTTTTCGGATTATCCCTCGTATAAAGTCAAGTCTATTGCGCACTTTCCGATTGTCGTACCTCAAAATGAAACTCATTCATTATCATTTAATCGCTAAGACAGCCGGAATATATAATGCTGTCCTTTGCAAGTTTAAATTGACGCCATGGTGTAGGTTTAGGCTGACGCTTAGACAGTATCGCTGCAAAAGCCCAAATATCAATCTAAAATCAGGGATCAGACATCATAGATCTGGATTACTTCTCTGTTTAAACTTTATTAATGTTGACATATGACGAAGAATGATGATGACAAAATCACAAGAACAAAAGCGATAGATTACCGAATTGAACCGAATAACGATTCAACTACATTCAGTCAGTCCCTCAGTTTCGATGACTGTCGTTCTTTCGGATCGTGAATGCAGCAGCGTCACACAGTCACTCCAACGTTACCGATTTTATGCCAGCTTTTGAGATTCGCCAGGAGATAACCCGGGTCTTGAGCAGGGTCTGTCAAGGCACCGCAACAGGCCTTTTGCCGGTCAGTCGAGTACGAAGTAGTTGTTTCGCCTTCCTTTCAAGAAGCATTGGCCAAACGTACCCAAACCGTCGCAGCTATGACTTTCAGTCTGAAGAAGCAGCGGCTTTTCATTACGACTCTCTCGGATATCTGAACTCCGGACCTCGTTGAGGCGTGTGATGTTAACGATTTGCCTCAGAAAACCCGTTTCAGCCGTTTCTACCCGGGATCGAGGTTTTCAATCATGGTCTACGAGTGCTGACAGTAAGTGAAACGTCGGGATGAGGACCAATATCAACATCGAAAGTTTAGCCTTCAAGATCCGCTCTGTTTTAGTCACAACGGTTCGGCCTAATCCCGTATAACGCCACTGGCGATTCCATTTCGCTGGTAGATCTCTTCCCTCAAATTTCTATCACCAGTAAACACGATCCTGACTCACGTGACTTTCATCTGCTCCAATACTCCTCCGTTTACCTGCTGAACGCAAAGATATGGCGTCGAGAGAGCGTTCGGTTTCGGTATTAAACACGTTCACACCATGCGGACCGCGTGACTCTCGGCTGTGAACCTCTCCAGAGTGCGTCTGAGGTTAGTTTCAGCATCATCGTCGGCCTTTGGCGAATTACTGCTGAATAACGGCCTCCACAAGATTTTGACACAAAGTACAATGCTGTTATTTCCAGCCATCTTGATCCACTTTTGGAATACGAGCAAAACAAAGTTGTCTGCAAACAGCAAACTTTTTTCTATGCGTTTCCTACTCTAAGGCACTCCTCACCCAAGTTGAGGTGGGGTTGACTATTCTATGCAAGAGAAGCGGGATAAGGAGTAAAACGAACCCTTGGATGATCCACAAGTGCCAAGTCAAAAGGCCTCGAACATAACGCCCACCGTTACTCTGACCCAGCACTTGCCATCTGCAGGTAGCGATAGTTTGGCTTGCAAAAACTCGCCATCGATCCCATACTTCTAAAGGTACCTCAATGGGTCGGGTTATACGCGTTCCCTTGCTATATTGAGCACATGTGCATAATGCCGATTTCGATTTGCTTTCTTGACAAGGCAACTGGGAAAGGGATCTAAGAACTGACCGCCCAATGGCCCAATGGATGGTTAGATTATATTGGATATCATTACATTTTCGCGCATGGGAATCCAGACCATTCAGCTTGTCGGTTTTAGCCGATTGGGACAATTGGAAAAATGCTCAGAAGTGGGTGTCCCACAACATGAAAGGAATGAATGAAAAAATCACTACTTTAGCAAAGAAAACCATTCTGTTGTTTTTGCTAGGTAATTAAAATGGTGATCACTGCAACAAAGGGTTTACATATCCATTCCATCACCTACCTACGAACTTTAGTCGAACTAACAATGCTCATAAAGGTGATGGAAAGGGAAATCATGGTATTTGATCAAATCGGCTGAACCGTAGGCAACATTTTGCTACTTGCGCTCCCACTGACTCTAACAAGACTAGTACGGTGCTTTGCTAACACTATCCATCGTAGGCGAAGGAACTCCGGCGGCATATCACACCAAAGCTGTTGCTTGTAGGGCAGAAGCTGTCTGCGTGAAGGAGACGATGGCATGTTCTAGTGGAACAAAAGTGATCACCATCAACAAAAAATGGAGGGGACCTGAAGGGTGAGCGGTATTCCTGAAAATCACAAATTTATCACTGATCCGTCTGCGAAAGTTGCCATGATCAAGTTGTGGCGGACGCACAGCGAGTTTATGATTATGACCGGTCGGCGGTTCAGGTGCTCAGAAACACGTGCAAAAGAGAAGTGAAGTCGAAAACCGGTTGCACTACCGTTTTGAGATCGCTTCGCCACAGAAGCCATGGCACAGCTCCTTCCGTTTTTCTTGTCTTTGTTGCTTTCTTCGGAGCCGAGTTTTTCTTCGCCAGCCAATTTTCCAACCATGCGCTGACAACGCTGTGCTTGCTGATGACTTTGCAGCAGCCATTTGAAGTGGTGTTTATCTTCATCTGTGGAGCAGTTGACATATTTATTGTCGATGATTGATTTGTAACCGTTCGTCATCACGCCCTTATTTGTACTGACAGCGGGTGACGGCGACCGGACGACCGACGGCGACACGACACGACAACCAGCGAGACACACGACCGCTTCGGCACGCATTTGTTCGGTACTGCGCGCGCGAAACGACGGGTTTGAACCTGACGATCATTCGGGTCGCATTGTGACTTCACTGACCGATCGACTGTCGCCCAGTTACAGTATGACGATACCCTAGACGCGAAGGGCGCCAATCGACGACTGTCGTCCTTCGTCCGTCCGTTAATACGTACATACGTGTGCCCGTGCCTGTATATCTGTGTAGGGAGGGCTGAGCTGAGGAATGTTACGGTTTTTCCCTGTCCCCTGCCGCGATGCGAAATGACCGCAGCCACCCCGCAGTCTTGTCGTGACAACAGGCGAAGGCCGGCCTTTTGAGAACTGGCGTTGCCGGGCGACGATGATCGTTACGAACGAAGAAAAAGCCAGAGCCAGACAGCGAAGAAGGAAAGCTGTTCTCGTGGTAAGTGGTAGAGCTGTGCGAAAGTGCTGTGCCTGAGAGCCATTTGTTACAGCAACAGCCACAATGCCCGGTCTTTACATTAACGGGCCAGTTTTTCACTCGCTTCTTCGATGACTCGCCATATCTTTCTTCGCCAGAAACGAGATCGAGTCTTAAAGGAATTTTCGGTTCGATCCGCTCATTAACTGCCATCAGGCCTTCGTTTCGTCATCGTCGTTGTTCGCCCGCACCGGCTTGGTCGCCACCAGTTCGTCTGCCAATCCGTGCCTCTGTCCTTCACTCATTCAGTCACTCGGTCTGTCGTTCGGTCGGTCAGTTGCGGTTGCGGCTAACCGGTGTCCGACACAACCTCGGCCGCCGATCTTGCAATCTTCTGCTGCGGTGGTCTCTGCGGTCCTACGTCGACAAGCTCTCTCGTAAACGTTACAGGGTAAGAAGTGAACCGTCTGATCATCCATCTCATACCGTTCATCGGCCGACCAGGCAAGCCGTTGCCTACAACCTGGGGACAGACTGTTGTTTCCCGATGGCCTCGACAAAGACGATCTCTTTTTGGTAGTACCACATACTCTATCTTTGTGGAATAGGAGTACTAGGGAAAAGATCGATTGTTTCGTCGTTTAAACCGACTTAACTCAAGAAATTAGGCATAAGCTCATTCTCACTTCGCGAAGGCCACTGCTCAGATGTATTAATGTTTCGGTACTCACTGCGGTTAGCAGATCAAGGCTCATTACTCCCAATCCAACTCTTCAATGCAGCCTTCTTCCTTATAGCCAGTTGAACTTCTGGTTTCTGACCTCCTCCAAGCGGTAAACCAACCCGTTTGAAACCGGAACGTTCGGCGGCAACCCCGAGTAATCCGCTTCTAAAGAACTTCCATTTGGTTTCCACATCGACCATCATCGCGGGGATCTGTGTGCGACCCTCCCTGCGAGTTTCGCCCTCATATCCATGGAAGGTAATGTTTCCCATTTTATGCCCTGACTGCTTCTGCCACCCGATCTTCGCATGGTATTCCATCGTTTACAATGGAGGGTGCCAGCCGCAGGACGATGATCGATTGACAGCTCTGCATTTTTCTTAACACGAACATCCATTACAGAGCGTCGAAAATCAGATGATAAGATTATCAAATTGATTATGAACTTCAGTGCAAATCTTTCCTACATGCTGTTGGAAAGGTATGCTGTTGTGCGTTTCCATGCCCGAAGAAGCTGTTCATAAAAAATATCGGTTATTTGCATGAAAGCGCAAAAACTTCATATCGTTTTCGTTGAGCTCGTTTGGGCCGTTCTTTCCAATCGAGCCTTTCCACCTTACAATTGAAATCGCCCATTAGAACCACTGATTTGGTAGCGGAGCTTAGTTGAGAGCACCTTCTTCGTCCTTCAGCATGGACTCATAATATTTTCCCTCCGAACTTGGCGCATAGACCTGTGACAAGCTGAAGACTTTAGCCTGTTGTAATCTTAGTCTCATAATTTTTACTCTTCCGCTGGCGGTTGATAGCGTTCATTGATTCTATCAGTCAGATGGGGTCGTTCAAAACGCGAACGCCAATCTGAGTGCGGATCATGGAGCCTGCCCTTGAGAGAATAATGTCCACCCACGGAGGTTCAGAATTCCCTCATGTTTTGTTGACAAGAGTGAAACTCTGTCTGGTCTGTACCTTGCGACTCATTCAAATAACTCGTGCTGTTTCACTCTGAATTAGGAGCTGTTTCAATGTGCAATTAGGAGTTCCAACTGTCGATAGCTATCCCGTGGCCTTGACTGCCTGCTCTATGAGAAACTGGTGGTGGCTCCGCTGCTCATAAGAGTATTTTTGTC